TCACGATGCGGCCGCCGGGCGACGGCATTTCGCATGGATGACATTGTGCTTTTTGATTTGGTGGCGGATGTTACGGAAACGGTGTTAGGCGAGCGCGAATGACATATGTAGGATGGACAAGACGGGTTGTGAACTTGTGACCAGGAAGGTTGGCTGGGAAGGTTGGGAGATGGGCAGAATTCTCAAGACTTTTGGGCGGTGAGGACGGGGTGGGGCCCCGCAAAACTTGCCCGAAAGCGGATCGAGCTTCTGCATTAGGTACCTCCTCATAGGTACCTCAATTGTTCACGAAAGAGTGAACGTAATTTTGGCGAAGCGAAGCGGAGCCATTTCTACGGAGTACACGGCTGTCAAATCTCTATGGCTTGGTCATGAAAAGCTTGGCGAAATGATTGCCTCTCGTTGAATACGGAAGCGTGCCCCCCTTTGCCCAACGGCGTCACCATACATACTAAATATGCCTACTCCGTACATACCATATGCTAACGCTGGGCAATATAAAAAAAAAACACACCAAATGAGCAGTGACAAAAAAGGAACTCAGTCACCTATACCGGATAATTTTAAAGTACTTGTTACCATACAGGGCCAGTGTATGGTCTTCGTCGATCAAATCGGGTCACCAAGCTCAAGCAGCTGTCTCGCATGGTCTGTGGTTCGCGAACGGTGTCCCGGGCCCAATGATCCTGATGTCCAGGTCGTGCCTATAGACTTTTGCAGCTAGGGAAAGGGGTTGGAGGAGTTCATAGCCATGCAGTGACATGCGCCGGACTACTTGGGCGGCGGTCGGCCGGGTCATTGAGCTGTTTGTAGAAACATTACGATGATCCATATGTGGAAAGAACGTCTGAAATTTTGGGCCCAGGGCGAGCGCTGTGCCAATTACCTCTTACATATCGTGTGGAAGCGCCTCTGTTTTGATGACGGAACGTTGCGATTTGCAAAGAGCCTAAGTTATCATATCATGTCGCGTAATGGCCATCTATGTACGCACACACTTATGGTGCCTTGGCATATGTTCCCCGTGAGATGTACTCGAGGATATGCGTCTGGCCAACGTCTTTTTCGCGGTTAGCTCTTTAGGCGTTGTTGATATCACAACTGCGAGGACGCGCTCGCCCACAAGGTGTGATGCCTCGATCTTTTCGAGCGAACCCCCTTTTGTCCCTGTATACACACAAGGCTCGAGGAAGTTCTCGCCAGTTGCAATCTGTGCTCTGTGCGGCTGAATTACCTGCTGAGAAGGCCAAGCAGACGCGACTCCTCGTGCGGGACGTTGAATGTAGCTTTGAATTGCTTTAAGCGGTTGTGGTCTGGTATTGCCATTACTTCTCAAAAATGATGGGTGGTGCGTGGACATGGGGTTTTCCGTTTTTTTTTTTCTGGACACACTGTACGGACACTGTTGAAGGAATCCTTGGTAGATGTCACATCACGCGAAGGTACCTGCAAGGGCTTCATTCATAGCCGGGGCTGACTCAGGCCTGATGATTTCGAGAAACATAGAAAGAAACACCCCGAACGAAGGCCTCATGGAGCGTGCTCATAGACATGTTGGACAACAAACGTGAGTCTCTTGAATGGCTGACTTTTCAATCCTCCACACAGGCGACTCCCTCACTGCGCAATACTCTCCCTTAAACCCTTGGTTCTCAACGTAAAGCCGCCTTCCTCCCCAAATGGCAGACCGATACCGCTGTCTTTGACCCATTCGTCATCCATCTTCAGCATGGCACTCCTCAACGCATCCCCATGCCGATTCATCATCTCGCTGTCCACACTGCCCTGTCGACTCCCTGCGATACTGCCACTGCTGCTGCCGCTCTCGCCATCGGCATTCAAGGCCAAGGGCAAAGCAGGCACGGCGCCAGTAGTCCCGCTCCAGGTCCCTCGTGTGTGACCATTAAGTTTTCTTCCGTCCCACAGGCCCCGTACGCCGCCCTTTTTGCGCTCGGGCATCTCGTCTGTACCGGCGCTGCACACATACAAGAGGTACTTTAGATTCGGGAGGGAGTGGCGAATATCGACGACCTTGAGGCCCTCGGATGCGCAGAGAGCTTCGATATTCTTGTTGAGGAGGAACCAGCCGTATTCGAAGCGCCATTGGCCAATGGACGAGCCACCACGCGGTAGGTAGAGGGGAAATTCACGATGCTGCCGTTGCCGCTGCCGCTGAGGCTGCCGCTGAGGCTGCCGCTGGGGCTGGGTGTCTGGGATGTGGGATATGTCGTCACGAGCGTAGGACCGGGAGCCATAGACGGACAAGGGATACGGAAGAAACGAGGAGAGATAGAATGACAGGTGGCGGGTGAGCAATGCAACGAGGCCTAGGGCCCCCGAGAGGACATCTTCGCCAATCACTTTGGCAGTGGCGGCATCGTAAACAGAGTTCGGCAGAGGTAAGCCGCATATTTGAAAGGATAGTGGCGGTGCGTTGGGGATGGGCGTAATGGGAAACATATCACATAGCTCGGAGCAGATGCGCCGTCTCTGGCCGTGAATTTGCTGCTCCGTTTGCTGCACCAGCTCGACAGACGCAGCTAGCTTCTCGCTGTTGTTTTGGATGTCCGCCTCTGCTAGAGCCTGAACCCGTCTACCCTGAGCGATGGCCTCACATCTACTTCGGAGAGATTTCCGCAGGTCATGGCGCTTTGTCTCCGCTGCCATGTTCGCCCGGCGCTGTATCGAGACATATTTCGCTGCCGAGGCAGTCGCTTCGTTGGCAGCAGGATTCGGATCGGCCGGTGACTCGTCAAGCATCTCATTGATCTGCTGCATTGTTTTGCGCTGCGTCTCCATGGCGTCTTGAACAGAGCTCTCGAGGTTGGCAAGCTTCATGAGGGCAGTGTACGAAGAGGTGGCGACCAGAGGCGCTGGCTTCGGGTCGGCAGTCCTTATGGGGAAGTCCATGGAGTACAAGCCATCTTGCAGGTGGAAAACAAGAGCATTGGGCGGAAAACGGCGATCAGTCAGCGTGCCAATGAAGTTGAGTCGTCGTAGGTCGATAATTTCTTCCAGCAGGAAGGTCCACGATGCTCGCTGGGGGCGTTTACACCAGACGCGAATGGTGAGAATGCATGCTCTTGAAATGCAGGTTTCCCGAGATGAGAGATGGAAGAACTGAAAATCAAAGTTCTGTAGATCTAAATTAGTGTTTCGATTGGCACCGAGGAGAAAAAAAAGCCGCTGCAGGGACAGGGTAGTAATTACGCACTGCGGATCGGTTGCGAACTTCGCTGATGTAGATGGGCTCGTTGCAGTCTGCCATATGCAGCGAGAAAAAGACATCGCCCACAGAGCTGTCGACGAGAGATTCTAGATCTTTCTGCCGTGTTACGGGATTCGCATGGGCCACGCTCAAGCTGCTTCGTCGGGGCTGAGCTCTCGGCCTTCTCTTGTCAGCGCGGAGGCTGTCCAGGCGCAGGCTCTCCGAGGACCGCGAGGCGCGAAGCCGCGGCGAACCTGTTTCGTCGAGGTTGCCGAGCTTGTTGGAGCTCTTGCTGATAGCGGCGTCATCTGATGTGTGCGCATTGCCGAGGCCGCGGGGCGCGAAGGATAGATTCCGCAGAGAGAGCCCCTTTAGATGGCGAAGCTTACGGTTCTGAGGAAGCAGACGAGGTCGGCGGGGCTCAGAGAGCGTGGGCATGATGTGCGCATGCTGGCCCGCGAGTGACGTGACGATCAAAGTCGGAAGATACGGACGTCAAATGGTCAGCGCGTCACGAATGAAGTCGTCTCAAAAGCATGGGTCGTTTAAGTATCGGCGTTGTCGAAGCTAGGTAGTGATCGTTGTCGTGAGCGGCGCCAACGTCGAAGTTGCAGCTTCATCTTGGGCCTTGGCGGAGGCGCAGTGGGATACTTGCGGGGACAAAGTGGAGCAGGGTGCCGCTGACATTGTCGTCTTGAGTGAAGGGCAGTTGTAGTAAGCAGCGGCAGCTACAGTGTACATACTGTCACTTGTGTCAGTAAATGCATCGTTCTTTCCCACTTTGGGTCAGCGACGTACGTAACTATTACTCCAGCGCCTCGGGCTGAACACCTCTTTTGTACTGTGATTGAAGCTACTTCCTATATCGACTGAAGCACCCTTTTAACAAACGTGAAAAATCAAGCATATGTGCGTCGCACGCACTAATGTCGCGAGCTCCGATCGACCGATCACGATTAGGCTGAGCCAACGTGCACCATCATCATCATTCTTGTGAATGGTGTATTCGCGCTGGCCAGCCTAAAGAAGGCATTGGAAGATCCACGAACAAATATCAAGGCCAGACAGAGCAGACAGGTTGGTCATGGTGAGCCACCATCATGCTGTGTGGCCCTTTCTAAACCTCTTTCTTGCGCAAATGGGAGGAGCATCTACAACGGAACGAATCAGACATGGGTAGATTCTCGAGCTGAGCGACAAAGGGACTTCTCCGACACTATACAGCAGTCAGCAAACGTATGTAACCCTCAGAATACGACGCCTCATTGAATAATTAAGATAATTGAACGAAATGGTTTCTAAAAGAAGCAAAGACTCCCATAGCCATGAGGTAGTTCACCGCAAGCGAACGCATCAACTAAGTATTGTGCTTCTGCCCGATTATTACCACGGCGCGACTGGAGATAACTCAGAGAGTTTGGCTCACGTTATGACGACAGCTGGTACCATCGCCCTGAAGGCTCCTGATGAAAGGTCATCCATTCATCAGATGTTTGGTGATGGGCGGCAAGTCTCTAGTCATCCATATGTGTCTGGAAGCTCACGGCTTCCACGCATGTTTGAGCAAGAGGGTAATATTCCCTACCTGCGACCGCGTCGCGGGAGAAAGGGTGAAGCAGTTTTTTGCGGACCATCGACGAGGAGGTTCAGAATTCAACTTGTGCTGCTTTCACGCTTTCGTGCCGGACAGGGTTTCCGCGTGGTGGCAATGAAGACAAAACGCGTCGAAGACTGGACTTCTTTATTAAGAAGAATTAAGATGGTCACGTACATCAGTCAATCAATGAGTTGAGGCACTTTGGCCGAGTGGTCTAAGGCGCCGTGTTCAGGCTGAGATGCGCTCCTTGGTACATCTTCCTCCTCGCGGTCTAGTAATAGGCGAGGGTTCGAATCCCTCAGGTGTCATTCTTTTTCTTTCTTTTGCCGCCATAGTTATAGACAGGCCTTTTACGGCAGAAACTGTTAGAACCTGTCATCTATGGAGTGGCTGTATCACGTGTATCACGTGATCCTCAGCCATCCGGTCACCTATGTGTATCCCGGATTCCTCCAGTTCTAGTTCCTATAGTTTTGCCCCTTAATCAACTTCTTCACCTATGATTCTCACATGTTAACAGAAACTGCGGCTGATGGCTTTCAACTTTCAAGTGTTCACACTTTCGCTTCATGTTCACCATGTGTGATTTCCCCCGTTCTTTTTGCCCCCGAATCCCCTCTCCACACCAACTTGCTGGAAGACTCAAAGAGACAACTCAAAATTGGCGGCGTTTTTCCACCAAATACACAGTCGTTTGTAGTGCTCTCTCACCTATGCGCCTCACCGCAAGTCGTTCTGCGACCTGCACGAAGCTGCACGATAACCTCAACGTACTGTCTCACTTCTCCATGTCTCATCTCCTAGTCGCTCGGGTACCGGGCATCGGGTCGGGTCGGGAGGGGACCTGAGGCGTTCGGCGCTGGCGAACGGAGAGTCTTCAAGGCGCCCTGCCAATCATGCATCGCGAGCGTTTAAAGCAACGTTAATTTCCAATCATTCATTGTCTTGGTCTTGGTGCTCACAAAGGTTGCTTGTTGCATCGGCCGTCCAGATCCGCAGCAGGACTTGTACAGTAACCGCTCCAGAACGACAAGCTCTGGACCACATCAAGGACAGCGAGAGTCGACGAATACTCCGTAGGAACAGGTATGTCCGGACTCAGGCCTCAGGCCTCAGGCCTCAGGACTCAGCGGATACTCTCGTGCACCTCCAGGACTATTCTCATGGGCTCATTTTGCCGTGGAGTTTCGTTCGGATCACATCGAGGCAGTCCTGCAGGAGCACAACGCTCGGTCAGTCCGCTCACTAAGCCAGAATTGGCGTGTGACACAACTACAAATATGTACCGTTTGTTCACGTGCTGTACGAGAGGGAAATAGCTACCTAACGAGGCCCTCAACAATGGAAAGAAGGGGGTGTCGAACACCTCACAAATGGTACAGATTCTACAGAATTCCTTGATGAGCATGCAATGGACACACAATCTTCCACCAGTGACTACCTAGCTGAAAGCCTTGTCTCTGTCGGAATGTTCTCGTATACCTTTTTGCCTTCTTCGAAGGGGCCCTCTCCACCGAGTATGACTACCTAGGTAGTGACGGGAAACGTCCCTTCGCAAATTGAAAAGCATATTTCTCGACTTTACTTCCACCTTTCTGGCCAAGGCTCCCCGCAAAGCTCGGGGGCAACAATTGGCCGCTGGCTGTCCTGGCAAACTCGACAGAATTACTGACTTAGCAGGTGAACTATACCCCGGGATAGTTCATCTATAGAGGACTACGGTCACATTCTTGGTATCCATGAGAAGGGCGCAAGCAGAAACTGGATAGATGCCAGTTGTCACACAACTCTCACTCCGACACCAGGCCTGACTGGCCTATCCAGCCAAAAGCAAAATGAATCTCGTCTTTCTCCACGACCGCTCGTATATGTATGGCCCAGCTGTGCCGTATTTGCACCATGTCACTCGCATTGTGGCATCCTCACGCTGCTTTACTTCTTGTTACCTCTCCCAGTTCCCTGTCATGAATTATACCCTTTCTCACATCCTGACTTCAGTGTGCAACATGTGGCCAGATCAAGAGTCGGAGACTGGACGATGACCAGCCCACCTTGTCATTAGAGTTGGGGAGAGGGAGGCAACGGAAACGGGAACGAAACTGGATGTACGACTTGGCGACGTGCGGTTGCCGCCACACCCGAGTACATATCGGCTCCTTGCTCGTCGCCACAGCGTTTTCATGGGCCACTGTGCTACTCAAAGTGTCCTCAAGTCGTTTGGCGACAATGGATCGCACGAGTGAGGAACGATAAAAGAGTGGACCTTAATCGGCAGTCAACATGAAGCAGACACAAGTATGTACGTAATGAACGTATGAGCGTGACGATTTTGCACGTCGACCAGCTTTCCAGTCACCAGCCATGGTTAACCTTACCTCCAGTACGCCATTACCATATGGACGTAGCACTCGAGGTAGGCTTCTGTGGGTATGTCTACATACACCTCGTAGGCTGCTGGCATATTACCTATCTCGAACGAAGTCCATCGGTTTCTCCCCACCCCAGAGCCTTCCACCAGCGGAGCGGAACGGGCAAGTCCGCCAGGACTCCAGAGGAATATGGGCTCAGACCTTCGGGTAATAGCCAATGTCACACATTCAAGTTAAAATATACGGTACGACCTCTGAAGAATTACACGCAGTCATTCGTGGCCTTTCAGCGCCACCGATACCACCTGACGCTAAAGGAAAATTCCCTCGTCCACATGAATTATGACCTTTTCTTACAGAACGATGAATATGTCCTCCACACACACTGTGGCGTTGTGCCAAGCTCTTGCCATTGGGTCGAAGCCCCTCCCCCCTTTGTTCGTACGCCTTTCCCTTCCCCACACGCCATGCATCGATGATCGGGGGAGAGATCCCGCGGCTGTCGACACAGAAAAGAAAGCTTCAATGAGGCCGTTAGAAGGAGCTAGTCTGCTCTACCTACGGCTTTTGTAAGGGTTCCTCAGCAGCCAATATCGGACGATAGATGCATGCGGGATCGACAGTTACTTTCGCACGAGTACAAAAGGGCAACGGCTTCCACAGCTGAAGTTGCGCGTTATGTCTAAGCCTGTCTGTGTTCCCCTGGCGTGGGTCGTGATTGGGAAGGCAAGAAGTCTCTTTCAAGCCACGTACGTCGGATCAGGTGATATCACGATCTGTGGTCGTCTTCTGGGCCGGAGCAATGAGAGCAGCAAAACTCAGAACTAGGAGGCTACGGGCGTAGCAAGACACGACTTACACGCAAGACACGACGTGTCAATCGTGTCCAACAAGGTGTATCGTACTGTAGCTCACTCTTGATAGTGACTGATATTGTCTCGAGGTTTTTTTATCAGACATGATATCTGGGGACTCTGCTGCTTCCGTAAGCGTACAGTGACCTTCAATACCTCCTTTTCCTACACGAGTCGGACTCGTCACACACGACGTCTACGGTCTGTATAGAACTGATTCTGTCGATGCAGGAATCCGAAGCCAGAAGATCATCTCAATGGCCTATTACCAGTAACGCCATACGGAAGGTCTCCAACACGATGGGGTGGTAAGAGGGCTGAGGGCAGATGGAGGGTCATCTCCGAGAGAGTGAAATTCTTCCTGTGGACGCCAAGACAATATGTTGCCCCTGGTAAGCTGCCTTGGTAATTCGAGAGAAGGGGGCAACCGAGTGAGACGGGCGTTCCATGGGGACTAACACAAGTATGACGAGCATGGTGATCCGTCCGTGCATGTGGGCATGTGGCATACGAAAGCGAATTTGGTCCGGCGCGTCAAGTAGGACGACCGGATGACAGTTTCTCAGCAGGTATCTTGGATGTTCAGACACGTCCTGGACGAAAAGGGGGGGTTCGTATTGTGAGATAATAGATTTCCTCAGGGAGGCGCTCTCGAATATTAAAAGCCTCAGTATTCCTTCGTATCTCAACGACCTTTTCTTCTCCTCATCCGATCAAGCCATCTCTCACCCTCTTCTTCGGCCCTTTACTTCGTCTTCTGTACTCAGCATCCTCCTCCCCCTTTTACTTCGCTTCAACCTCCTCAATCTCGTCATCATGAAGTACACTGCCGCCATCGTTGCTCTCGCAGCCACCGTCATCGCCATTCCCACCGGAGGCGGCGGCGACAGCTCTGGCAGCTGCAATAACGACCACCCCAACTCCGTCTGTTGCCAGAGCAGTGGTCTTCTTGGAGGACTCTTCTGCGGTCTCAAACTTCTGGGTTCCGACTGCAGTGGAGGCAGTTACTGCTGCAAGTCTGCTCCTCAGGTACGTTGCCCATTATCATAATACGCGTCCGTCGTGGAGTCTATCCTTTACTGATATGTTATCTTCGCGTCTGTACAGACCGGCCTGATCAACCTTGGCCTTGAGTGCATCAAGCTGCTCTAATTGCCCTATTCCTTCGCCACCCTATTAACCGCCAATATTGCCTCCACCTCCAAAACACGATGTTGGGGGTGGAATCTTTGCCTCAACGCTTGACACATTCACACGGGGCCCTCTCTCCGCTCTCCATCCATCTACTACTGTCGGTGCGGGCACGGTAGCTAGACAATACAGGAACAGGATTGGTAGAGTATGATGGCTCATGGATGCATTGTGTGAATGAGCAGCTTTTTCGCCATCTTGGAACCAATCAGGATGCGTCATGAGTTGGGTTTTCGGATGGGGGTGGCTGGACGAAGCAGGTCTGTTTGCATACAAGGGATTCAAGTGGAAGTAGCTACTTATTAGCGGCATGCGTAGATGGACGCTCGTACTTAGTCGAACGCTTCTTTCCTTTCAATATTACGTATTTTCTGCAGAGAAATTGCTTACGAGAAGACTTTTTCGGAGCCGTCAATATAAGTCTTAGTGCGCTGGTAATATCATGATGTTGCGCGTGCTGGTACCGTGCCGCCTTTGTGCCCTTTTTTTTCTGCTTCGTCTTTTCTATCACCTGTGCTTTTGCGGAAGACTCGCGCATGACTTCACAAACTTTCCAAAACAAGCCATACATAGTACCCTAGTCTCTAACACCGTAAAACCTATACTGTGCCGACTTTTCTCATATGTCTTCCTCTTTTTCTGCTGCTTGTACTCTATTCAACCTTTCTTTCTCCTTGTGTGTCCCCCCTATTGATTGCCCCCCCTGAGTAACTTGGCGGCAGATCATCGTCCAGCTCGGCAGGCAAATCCGATGGGCTCACATACAATGATACATACGTACGTCTGACAACCAACACCATCCCCTGAGGAAGACTCAAGAGCGCGTCATTTTTTTTTTTTTTTTTTTTTGGGGCGATCGGGCCACATGAACATCCAGTCTCCAGAGCAGAAAGT